CAACCCAAGCCAAAAGCATAGGGCAGAAATCTATATAGAGTGCCCCCATGTTACAACATGCTACCTGTAACTTGCTACAGTCTGCATCCTAACATAAACTATTTGAGGAGCGTCAAAAACCCTCAAGAAAGGAATTTAGATGCGGTTCATGTCATGTGATTCATGGCCAAGAGAGCCCGCGATAGGACCCCTTGGCGGAGTTCCTGGTCGCGGGCGACTTGAAGTCGGGCGGTGGACGTGGAGGATGGGCAAGCGGTGGTCCTCAGGTGCGGACGGGTCATCCTGTCGGAGGTGGATGTGGAGGATCTTTGAGAGGCGTTATAGGCGTTCCGTGTTTTGGTGTGGACGCCGTGTTCGCCGAGCTGTGGTTTCGGGCGGTGTCTTTTATGTTTGGCCTTGGTGGGGGGAGGGTTGGAGGTTGGGAAGGCGGGGCACAAGGAAGTAGACACCAAGATGTCCAGGATGGGAACCAGATGTCCTGGATGATGTGTGATGGTTTGTAAGGTTGCAAAACTCTAGATGCATTGAAATGTTTCATATATCATAGAGGTATGCCTGGATTTACTGTGGACAACTGAAGATGGCTTGGTTTGCACATTTTTGCAAAGCTGCCTGTTGAGACCGATCAACGCCTTTCAAGAGCGTTTCTTTGGGTGGAATCGCGGGGTCCAACCTTGCATGTAGTGAACCAGAGTGAACCTCCGTGCTCCATCCAGGATCATTAAAATCGCCCCCGTCAGAAAATAGAAGAGTCCAGCCCGAAAAGCTACTCATTCCATGATCAATTCATGATCATCCTTAGTTACAAGAAGCACTTGAAGACTCCAGCTCCATAACCCACTCCTCAGCTGTTTGTTGCCCATGTCAGGTCTGCCGGACGCACGCTCCGGCCAGTCTGCACGGCCAATTTGCCCATCTTCGGTGGCCCGGGTGTTGCCGATGATTTGCGCAAAGCAGGGAGAGGTTCATGGTTTTGTTGGTTTGCCCAGTTTCTTCAGTTCGTGACCAGCCAGTTGTAGGGTCCCAAGCAGTGACCTTTTGAGGGCCCCCAAGTCGAAGTGACCTTGAAAGGGTCCCCAGGTGAACTCCATGAGGTGAAGGTCCCAAGCTGGTTTGATTGGGCACTCGGTCCACCAGGTACCGGCCTTGGGGAGATCGGGAGTTTCTTGACATGAGTGACTTGTTGCAGGACACACTTGGCCATGTTTCTGGGATTTCTTTCCAAGCCATGCCCACGCGGCCGTGATGGTTTGGGGGAGCACTTGATCTGCTGTGAAAAAGAATGACACGATGAGTTTAACGAGTTTTAACATCACCGTTGTATCTACAAAATGCCGGGCGTAGCTACACACATGCAATTTCTACGTTGATGTTTTAACCATACGCGACTGCCCTGCCTTTAGCAGCCCAAAGCTTCCACTCCTTGGCCACTCCAACCGGCCGCCGCCGACCAGTGCAGGTGGCAGAGATGCCCCGAAAGGTGCAATCCGCCCTCAACCAGGTGCCCTCCGACCGATCAATATATGTGTGTGTGCTTTTCTTTGCATGAAGGCGATAGCCGCTAGCCATGGCCTCCAACCTACTAGCCATGGCCTCCAACCTAAGAGCGATGGCCTCCAACCAAAGAGCAATGGCCTCCAACCTACTAGCAATGGCCTCCAACCTAAGAGCCATGGCCTCCAACCTAAGAGCCATGGCCTCCAACCTAAGAGCCATGGCTTCCAACCTAATAGAAAGAGAATGCTGAGAAGTTGCATTTCTTTTCAGCACAGGTGGGGAATGTACCTCACACGTGTCCTCCTGGACAGGGATTTGAGGGTGTGTATTGAGTTCGACGTTAAAGATCTGAGGTGTCTTATTTAGAACATTCACTTCTTCTCCACTGGTCCTTCTACTCAGCTTTGTAATTACTGCGGGAAGACCACTTGCAGACATTCAACATTGGTGCGAAAACGGCTCGTGTGTTCCTCGCTTTTGCTAACATCAAGACACTTTGGGAAGAAACATCTAAGAACCCTGTTGAACATGGGACGACAAATAAGCTGTGAAACCGCGACACCGGTGTGAAGCAACGCGACGGCGACACGGCGACACCGGTCTCGTTTCACCGGTCATGTTCGCCTCCCCGGCTGAGTCGCGGGGTCGATGGAAGACGATGGTCCAAGGCATCACAGGCAGCCTCCTCCGGCGAGCCGCTGCCAGGCTTCCAGTTGCTTTGAAATGGGCCATGGGGCATATTCTCATGTGGTTTGCGGATTTGGGGAACGAGCAAGCTCGAAATGGAACGCCGAGAGCAGACCGAACTAGGACCGAACAGAGGACCCTCTTTGGAAAGGTCTGATTCATGTGGTTTGCGGTTCGTGGTTTGCTCTGGGTCACACCAACCCGGTTTCGGGCACGACCACCCGCTGGAGAACCCAAACTCGCGCTGTGCGGGTCTGGGGATGGTTGTTCGTGCTTGGATGGTCTGAACTGGGATCCACCTCCGCAGAGTTCTGACTGAGATGAGGCGAATGAGATGAGACCGTGGAGACCGGGTTCTTCCGTGAGACCGGAAACGAGATGCACCGGAATCTGCGGGTTGCGGGCCAGATTGGCACTTTGGGTTGGAAGAGGCTTGCAGCTCAAGATGGCTGGTGTTTGGTGTGTTTTGTGTTTGACCATCTCAAGAATACAGCATTTGGGGTTTGTTCTTGCACTTTGCTTTTTTGGTTCTGCTTTTGGGAGTATGAACACGTGGTACGCCCATCACTCAACTCACCCAATTTGCTGAAGCTAATAGCGCTGGCCTCCAACCCAGTAGCAAGCAACCCATACCCATACAAATTGGTTCTATTTGACTTGCCTACAGGTGCCTGGGCCTAAGCACGGCCAGTGACTCAACCCAGCCTATATAGATGTAGCCAATCAGGGGTAGCTTCAGATTCAGGGAAGTTTGCCGTGTCGAGAGTGGGTGGGGCTTCAATTCTGAAGAGTTCTGAGGAGGAAAGAGTTTGGGATGATGCGATGGTTATTTACAAACAAGCATTGAAGGCTCACTGCTCTCATATACGGAACTCGCCTTTCAGTGAAGTGCAACGGTGCGCGCCAAAAGCAGAGAGGGCGGGGTTTGCCCTGCCGACAGACTACTTGAAGAGAAAAAGCAGAAGAAAGGTTGACTTCACTTGATGCCTGGTTACGGTTCATTTTGCGGTCGGTTTGCGATCGCGGTGAAGCTCGCAACACGCTGATCCAAGAAGCTTATCCAGTCGTCAGGGGCCATTGGACGATATTGGATGCCCCTTGTTTTTCAAGTTCGCGGTCGTGTTCTTGACTCAAGGAACCATGGCATGGGAGTTCATTTCATTGGGTGAGAACAAGACACGACAAGTCAGCAAGAACACGACAAGTCGGTCAGGTGGGTCAACTGCTTTTGGGTCAACTGCTTTTACCGCGCACTCGCTCCGCCAACCCCCGACACCCCATCCCGCACTCAATCCGACTGGTCTGACGGAGAGCGACCTGGTCGGTTGAACAACAATTCAGATTCATTATTTTTCGGTTTTGGATGGTTTTGGTATGTTTTGTTGAAGGTCCACTGTCCCTCCCCTGCTCAATGTGGGTCCTATTGCAGGTATGGAATCGCAAAAGGAAAAGAATGATGGGCAACCTCCATCAATGGACATCAGGTTCTTCCGGCTCAGCTTGATGTTCAGGTACTCCTGTAGCACCGCACAGGAACATGCACAATAAATCTGTCACTGCTACAAGCTTTGAAGGCCCTGGAAATCATCATCCATATCCAGGAAAACACCGAGAACTTGCTGCTTCTGGTATCAAAAGGACGCTTCAGTCAGATTCACTCACTCTTCAGGAAACCACCACACGTCATGTGACCAACGCAGGCAAGGCGCAGGCGGTTGGCGGTTTTTCCACCTCGTACCCCTCTACCGGTCGACCTGGATCGGTCGGTCCGCAGGCGTTTGAGTTTTGCAGCAAACGAGCAGAGCGAGCATCGCAGGGTTAGCCGCAGAGAGAAAAGAACAAGAACACCCTAGAAGTCCAGTTCGACGATATTGAACACCCTGGCTGGAGGTTTCAGGAAGTTCCCAGACTCAGTTCCCAGACTCAGTTAGACCATTCTTTTTATAGACCGACTCCCAGGGAACATGTAGAGCAAGACGATGCCAGGCATGATGGCATGTGCGGAAAACGAGCCGCGCATTTCAGCTCGGAAAGGCATCGCATCGCACGACACGAACGCACGACGCTGCATGACAAAGCTGTTCGATACTGTAGAAGGAGCTGAGGAAAGCCTTCAAGTTTGTGATAAAAAGCGCGGCATCCAAACTAACCGTACTTGACGGAGTCGCGTTTCTTAGATTGAATGATCATCACTCATCACCTTTCATATCCTTTCATTAGCCTTTGCACCACTCTTTTGTCCTTGACAGATGGCTCCGAAATTGAGGTGCCTTGGAGCTTGGAGAAGTGAGAACGGTGTTGAAAGGCTGCCATTTCACGCAGAAAAGCTATTGGAAGCCATTTCCACATCCAACTTGAAGATGTGTTGTCTTTTTCCGAAAGTTTGTGTTCTGGCAGCAGCGTGCCATGACCAAATCTGCTTAACCTACGGCTCAGCCTCCAGAAAACAGGGGGTTACGAGAGGGATCGCCACCTCGTTGTCGTCTACGCGTCGCCACCGGTTCGTTTCTTCGGCGCTTTGGTCGTTGCCAAAGTTGCTGCTGCCGTTGCTGTGAGTTTTGCCGACGACAAGTGGCAACATGATCTTTGCAACAAAAACACCTTAGAGCGGGGACGCTGCAAGCAATCCGCCGTTACTAGCAGTGAGGGTATGTAGTTGTTTGTACATTTCCTCTTCACCTTTGGGGTATTGGTCATGTTGGGGGTTCATTGCCCGTGTTGTCGGAAACAGAAAAAAACAGGTCCCTATTTTTCGTTGGTCCCATTCTATCATTCTGCCTATGGAAACCCGAACCTGCCTGCGAAACATCCTGCCCATGCTTTTCGTGGATCTGAGGCTGGGCAAGAAGCATGTGGCCGGTGAGGTGTCTCCACCCATCACTGACCATTCGGCACCCTCCGAGAGCCATGGTGAGCGGATGGCGCGCAGTAGCTTGAAGAAGGTCAGGATCGAGTTCTTTTGCTTTAACCTGAGAAGAGTAACAGTAGCTTTATGGATTTGAAGAGGCCATCGCTAGTAGGTTGGAGTTCTTTTTTGAACCAGATAAGAGTTCAGAGTAACAGTAGCTTTATGGATTTGAGGAGGCCATCGCTGGTAGGTTAGAGGCCATCGCTGGTAGGTTAGAGGCCATCGCTAGTAGGTTGAAGTTCTTTTGTTTTTTCCCCAGAGAAGAGTTACAGTAGCTTTATGGATTTGAGGAGGCCATCGCTCGTAGGTTGGAGGCCATCGCTAGTAGGTTGCAGGCCATCGCTAGTAGGTTGGAGTTCTTTTTTCAACCAGAGAAGAGAAACAGTAGCCTTATGGATTTGAGGAGGCCATCGCTGGTAGGTTGGAGGCCATCGCTCGTAGGTTGAAGGCCATCGCTAGTAGGTAGCAGTTCTTTTGCTTCTTTGTTTTAAACCAGAAAACGGTCACAGTAGCTTTTGGATTTGAGGAGGCCATGCTGGTAGGTTGGAGGCCATCGCTATTAGGTTGGATTTCTTTTTTAACCAGAGAAGAGTAGCAGTTGCTTTATGGATTCCGGGAGACCCTGTTTCTTTAATCGTCCTGGCTGGAAGCTGGCTTTGGGTGACTTCCTTGTGCAGTCCATTCTCCCGGGTGCAGTTTCTTCTGGAACCCAAAAGGACGTGTCAAGGTGATGTTCGACCTGAGGATCGAACTCCGGAAACGGAAGGTGACGGGCAGTCATTCAGATCCGGACGGCTTTGCTGGTGGATCTGGGGAGATGATCATGAGCGCAAGCAAAGCTGATTTTGATGGATTTCCTCCCTCAACTCACATGCTGTCACATGCACCTGAAGTTCAGTTCCCGTCTGAAAACCACCACCGGCACAGCTGGAATTCGCCTTCCTCCGACCACTGCAACGACACAGGCGGCGGAAAGCCTGCCAGAGATGGATCGGGTGCTGGGGCAGCTGCCGAAAGCCGTCAAGGAGTTCACCACGGCCTACAGTCACTCGGCTTGTGTTTTCACCTGAAGACGGGAGGTTCGAATGAAGGGAAGTTTCTATGTAGTAAGGCCAGGAGCTATTATAGTACGTGAAGTACCATGCAGATTCTATATATAGTTACTGTAGTAGTCATGCGTTCGGAGCTACCTTCGTAGCGTTCAGGAGCCATGTTCGTCCGAAAAAGACCGGCCTCCCGACCGTCCGAGAAGCGAAGACGTTCAGAGATGGCATGGACATGCATGGAACATCTCGTGTTTATCCAGTGTTTATCTAGTGTTTGGAACATCTTATCTACCAACAGAGGTTGAAGAACCCTAGTTCGGCTATCCCAGTTTGGTACCCTGGCAAGGTCCTATAAGGTCACTTAACCTCTGTTGGTAGTGTTTATCTTTTAGAGCGAGGCGGTGTTCGAACTTGATCCTTGGACAGCAGAGTGGCGCCCTGGCCGCGCCCTGGCCATTGTGATGGTCTCATCGTTCTCGTCTCGTCTCCGTCCGTCCGTGAAGACGGTCGACCGGTGCCCTGCGCCCCAGGTGAGCTGAGTAGTGATGCGTTGTTGGAGGGACCGCCCAACTTGGACCCCGCCAAGGCCCTAAGACAGGTGGGGCGCTCAGGCGAGCGACGGCGCGCGAGCGATGAAGGCGATGGGGACCTGTGTGCCGAATCGCCGGTTGTGCAAGTCTCTGCAGGGGGGAAGCTAGTCATGCACTTGGGACGAAAAATCCCATGAACTTGGCAACATATGCAAGATGTTTTCCGGGGTGTGCGTGTGTGTGTGTGTGTGTGTGTGTGTGTGTGAGGGTTGATGAGTTGCGTAGCGGATGCTGAGGGTCCAAAACTGTGCCTTCTTATCTGCAGGCAATATGTTCACGTTCCATCCATGGACTTTTTTCAGGTCCACTGATAGGTCGGGATATGTGAGGATGGTCCGCTTCCTACAGAGGTTAAGTGACCTTATAGGACCCTACAGGAGTACCCATATAGGATAGTCAAACTACGGTTCTTCAACCTCTGCTGCTTCCTTGCCTGCATGCAGGTCGTTTGGCATTTCCGAGATCTGTCTTGGAGGAGCACCGAGCGGACCACGCGCCTGGAGGATCTGGGACGACTAAGGTCGCTATGTTGATATATTCGCCAAAGGAAGCAGCTCAAAGCACGATATATTAGTGACAGCAGTTCACACTTCGTTGCTGATTCCGTTCAAGTCTTATTCTGATTTGCCAGGGTACCTAGTCTGACTGGTGCGTCTCGCAGGGTGGCTGAGGGTGGCTGGATCCAATAGAATCTCTAAACAGGGGGCTTCCCTATATTCCCTACGAGTCGCACCAGGGTACCTAGTGAATATCACTGGGTCCCGCGACACTCGCCCCTGAGGCCGTCGACATCGGTCGCTCGCCTCGGCGTGAAGGGATGGCCTTGGCCGGTTCGCGAAGATTTGTTGCGCAGGGCGTTGCAGCGAGGAGGAAGAGGCTTGGGTGGTTTTTGGTTCCAGGTGCTTCGGACAAAAGGGCTGTTTTGTTGCAATAGAACTGGGTTTGGTCGTTTTCATCGTAAACGATGGTCGAATTGGGATGTCACCAAACGCAAGAACCGTAGGCTCTTCTTTCATTCCCAGGGGCGTTCCACAATGAATCAGCTCAATGAGAGAACAGAATCACTTTTTTCAAAGATGATTTAGAGCCTTTGAGACTCTCCAATCTGAGATGAGATCACTACCAGCACCCTCCAACAGGCTGTTAGTGGAGGGTTGTTGGACCCTAACAGGTCTCAATTGGTGACCTGTTTATCGTCGGGTCCTGGTAAAATGCAGGCTCTTGCATTCACATATGCTAAAAATACCACGTACCTGGACCACCTGGACCATCATGTGGATGAACACCATGTATTGAAACCTGAACCCTATGGATCTACATACCGAACCTGAGGTACGGTGATTGGAGACTATTTATGTAGGCCTGGAGAGCCCACATACCTTCTGAGAAGGTATGTGGATCCATAGGAGAATGGATCATGACATCTTAAATCTCAAACCTTTCGAGGACCTTGCTGCAAGGAAACTGGTCTTGTGCTCTCTCCCCACCCCACCTGAAAAAGATATTGTTGAGCTGCGCACGCCGGCGATGCAAGGGTTGGAGACCTTCCATGGCCCAAACCGGACATGCAGCTGTGGCTCACTAAATTTTAATGCTGACAACGCCGCAATCGAAGGCCACCATCTCCACTACAAACAATCCTCCAAATGTCGCACGTCTTGAAAGGAGTTCACCAAACATTTTGCAGTGCGGTCCGTGTGGTCATCGGGGAGAACGCTGGGTTTGCTCCCGCTCCCCACTAAGACGGCCTCCAACCTAAGAGCAGTGGCCTCCAACCTAAGAGCAATGTCCTCCAACCTAGTAATTAGCCCAGAGGTGTCTTTTTCATTGAAGGCAAGTAGGTCGCAGTCCCACTCGTCTCCCCGAGACGTCGTCCGACTCCTTCGCGACGTCCCGTCCGACTGAACCCGCCGCAGGACCTCCATCCATCCTGAACAGGCGCCGTTGGACGGTGCCGTTGGACCGCTGAGCCCGTTCGGCCGGGGTGAACCAGTTCCATCAACGGCTCGGCGGTTCCGGTCTGGACGGCTGTGTCAGGACGGCTGCCAGGTGTGAAAGCCCGGTGGTGAAAAGGGCAGTTCCATATAGACATGGCGTGAAAAGGGCAGGCTTGTGTCAACGGCCTCAGGTGTGTTAGAAACGGTTGTGTCTCGGGTCCGGGATTTGCCAGTTTGTGTTTTTGGGGTTGGTTTTGCTTTTTGTGGTTCAATGTTTAAGATTAAGGACTGCTAAAGGCTATAAGGGACCTGAGGTTGAAATCAGTTTCGAGGTTGTTTCACCCGGACAACCCGGTGGTTTTCATCGGTTTTCACGGTGTAAGGCACCCATGGCAGCCATGCTGCATCACTTGAGCCATTCTCCCCTCTCTCTCCCTCTCTATTTGTGTCCATAGTCAAGTTGCGGAGGACAGGGACCTGCCAAATTGGTGGGTTTTTCATCTATGTCTCTTTGAGTCTGGCCCGATGTGCTTCCTCTATCGTGCCGCATGTTCTTCTGTTTGCATGACACTCGTTTAAGGAACTATCGGACATCAACTAATTAAATGATAATTTGTGCCTGTCCGGCGATTGCTACTTGTGCTTCTACGTTCCCCTTCTGTGTATGTTCATGGCGTTAAACAAGGGCTGGTTCTGTTTTTCCTTGATAATCCCAGTTGGGCCGCACTATCCAGTGGGTTTTCTACAATGTCAAGGCTCAAACCCACCTGTCGGGTGTGTCGGGTATGCCGGTGTCACTCGGTGGGCTTGGAGTATATAGATGGATCAAACGCGCCACCAATCGGGCCAGTTCGAACGCCACCAATGTGGGAAAACTCGAAGGACGTGCGAAGGACGTTCCCATCGTCTGCAGGGCTAAGGGAACTCATGAAAATATCAAACCTATCAATAGCGATGGGCTCCAACCTAAGAGCGATGGCCTCCAACCTACTAGGCATGGCCTCTCACCTAAGAGCGATGGCCTCCAACGTAAGAGCCATGGCCTCCAACCTAAGAGCCATGGCAGCCATGGCCTCCAACCTATATACGCAGAATGCTCGAGGAAGTCCATTGGGGTGAAGCGCTTGGTCTCGCTGGGTCTCCGAAGCGCTTTTTGGTCAAACGCATCGCACTGGACCACCCGACCCGACCGTCCGACGTGGGTCGGGTGGGTCGGGTGGTCGTGGTGGTCGTTTGTATCCATAGCACCATCGACTTAAGTGGACTGAGCCGTAGAAGTGGAGCACTGTGCACACATGGAAAATGGAGAAAAATGGAGAAAAACAAACAAACACCATCACACACCCCTTAGCATAGGATCATCGTTATGTGGATGGCATGGCCTCTTAGATGACCATTTGGTTGTCCACTGAGTGAACATTTGGTCGGAAGGTCGAGAACCAAGATGTGTCGATCGGTTTTGAAAGATGGACAATCACTCATCATCTTAGCTGGAGCAGGCGCTTCTGGCCACCAGCTGTGATTTTCGGGCCTTGGAGGGCCCCAAAATGCCCAAATCACCGACGGAATCAGGGTGAAAATTGGGAGTTCTCCAACCATTCAGCTCAATTGTACTTCCCCCTTTTACAATAATGTCCTCCAAGTGGTGCCAAAGAACTTAACTATTATATAAATACTCTCCGGCCCGCACTGTGCGGTTTTCAATCCAAGCCCTTCGAAACAGGCGGAGAAGCTCTGCAAAATCTTTGTGGAGCCGCTGAATGTGATGCAGGTGGTCGTTTCGGAGGTTGGAAGTGACGGACTTAGCACTTTGACCGGACTCACCGGTCTTGATGTTTTCGGGTCTAGCTTCAGTCGTCAGCCGCGGCACGGAAGCTTCCCTGGGCCGACGGCCGGAAGAATGGGGACCCCCTGAAGACCGGCCTCAGTGACGATGTCCGATGTTTTTGGCAACAGCCGGGTGGAGTTTCGTCTGACTTCAGACCTGGCAACCTGACAGACATCGACGCTGTTGCAGTGGTGGGGGGTTTCAAGAAATATGGCGCCCAACGAGTAAATCGGCCGAAGAGATGCAGGTTGAGCCACTTTCTAGAAAGGATTCTGGGGGTCAGGAACCAGTAACCAGTTGTCCGCTGTGCCAAGAGGAGGAAAGGTTGTGCATAAAGACTGACAAACATCAGCAAACGGGTTGCTCCTCTAGTAGCGTTCTTTGCATGAAATGAAGCTGTTCCTCAACTAGTTAGGCGCCAAAGTTCCAGGTGACATCGAATTGAAAGAGAGGTTCGTACCTTGGAGGATTCTTAAAGGCTTGAGCAGCGATCCTTGACATCGACACAAGACCTGCGCAAGCTTGACAGTGTGTGCACCTAACCCCTCAAAAGTGACACCCCAACCTATGCAGCTGGCCACATCCGTTGCAGCCTCTTCATGCAACCAGTGTGCCACCAGTGTGCCACTGGCCATCCAATGCCACCTGACTCTCATCAGCGAAATCCAACCCCGGCGTTGGTCATCTGGATCTGCCAAGTGGAAGGAGCCCTCACCGTGATGGCGAGCGAGAAACGGCCGAGCGCATGGCGAGCGAGAAACGAGCGCATGGCATCGAGGTCTGGACCTGCAGGCCTGTCTCAACAAGAGCAGCTCTGCAAGTCTTTTAGGCGAGAAGCGGTGGAGGTGATGGGAAGAAGCGACACTTGCGCCCCACAAGTTCTCAGTTCAGAAGATGTCAGAAATGGCTTGGCCCAAGGCCCTATCGGTGGAAACGGCTAACTTCTCCTTGGACCAGAGGGATCAGGCTGCCTGTGCTGGTATAAGACTCAAGACCCAGGTTCCACCTCCGGTCATTGGTACGTTGACTTTTAGGCTATGGTTGTTTTGCTTTAGATTGAATCTCTTGGTTCATCAAATGAGCAAAACCAACTGTCATTGTCGTTGTCATACGGTCACCTGGAGCCAAGCCATGTGCGGCTTGAGGGAGTGGAGTTTTGCGGGGTAGCACTTCTCCAGCCTCGGTGACTTTGTAGGCGACATCAGGTGCACCCGTACCAACACCTAGGCAATTCAGGATCCCTCCCAAAGCAGGAGCCAATCTGCTTTTGGCACTTGGTGTGTGGATTTTGGGGCCTCCCCAAGATTCTCAAATCCCCAAGAAGAGCAAACTCGAAGAAGAGGGTCGCCAGGGTGGTCCAAACCAGAAGAACGGCACCAGGATGATCCTTTTGGATGTCCGACGTGACGCTTCATGATCCACGTATAAGCCACACACCTATCCGGAAGTACTTGGCATTGAGCCGGGGATGGTCTCCACCGTCTTTTTGCCACGTGCTCCCCGGGTCGGACGCGGAGGGCAGCCTGGCGCAGACATGTGACGCTGTGACATGGTGACACCCAAACAGATGGACGCCGTCTTTGTGCAGGCATTTTCAGGAATTCACTCTTCTAAGAGGTGCGCCGAAACATGAATTAGGTTGGAGGCCATCACCAGTAGAGTAGAGGCAATCGCCAGTACTTGTAGTGTGGAGGCCATCGCTAGTAGGTTGGAGGCCATCGCTACTAGGTTTGTAGTTGGGTTGGCCATGGTTGGCCTACTCAAAACCATTCAATGAGCGCCACTGAAGCAATGCAACCTTTGCCAAACAGAACCAAATATTCTGTTCATTGCCTTGGTCGGTGTGATAATCATGCCACGAGAGAGTGGGTGTCCATGTTGGAGGGCGGACTCGCCCTGGAACTAACACGGTTACGTGGATGGCACCACCTGATGGGAAGTGGATTTCATGGCCTTCCGAACTCGGGGCCAGGCCATCCACGTAGCCATGTTAGTTCCAGGGAGTGTACTTCTTTCGCGAAGGCCGCCGGACACCTGAGACGACTCGAGTGCTTGGACCTAAGATATACCTGGTCTTCCTGGTCGTCCTCACCAGAAACAAGTCTGGATGTTTCCCCAAACAACCACTTTGTGTATAGAGGACCTTAAATGCATTTAAATGCCATATTTGAGCCACCATTTGTTTCTGGTTGTTGAGGTTTCCAGGTATGACATGCAGTGCATGTTGTAACATCGGGGTGCTCAAAAAGAGATCGATGTTTTCGTACCTGGCGGTCGAACTTCACCCCATCTACGTTCCCGAAGTCGGGAGGAAGCAACGAAAAAAGAACAAAGAGATCAATCGTCATCAATGAATCGAACAAATGACAGAACACCTCATCCAGACAGGCCCTCATGTTGAACACAGTGATTCATGTTCTTTTATCTATTCAAGATCAATTCATTGAACACATGATAAAAAGAACACATCATCAAGACAGGCCCTCATCTTCACCGAGGCCATGTGTGTTGGGGGTCGGGCAATTGCCGGTCAGACTGGCTTGGAGGTGCTTGGAAGGGGCCGACGAGACTCGTAGCGATGGCCTCCACCCGGGAGGTGCTTATTTACTGGCTTTGGACGTGTCCACCCTCTACTGCGTGTCCGGATGCTCAGAGTGAGTTCAGGTGCCGCGTAGGTGGCCTTTGGTCGGTGCACGTGGGAGCGAGTGAGCCAACCGAGCGAACAGCAGAAACGGTTCGACTGAAGTCTGTGCGGATTTTCTGGAAATCCAGAGGTTTCCTCAGAAGTGAACACAAGTGATGTAGATGGTTGATTCAAACACTCTTCCCCCCATTTGGATTGTAAGACTTATTTATAGATTGTTCTTTTATTTATTCATAGACTATGCAGTCTATGATGTCACATCAAACAAGTGCTGGCAAGTGCGCTTCGTCCGCCAACTGTTCGTCTTCCGCCAACGCAAGCCCCATTCCTAGAGTCCCAGCCTCACCAAGGGTTTTGGGCGATTCTGTTTCATTGCTTGACATGCGGCAGATAGGTGGATAGGTGGATAGCGAGATGTTGTGTGGCACGCAGGGAAAAAGCCGAGGCAACATTCATGGCCAACGGGATGAATCATTTGGTGTTCCGTTGCAGAGGATACTTCGACCAAGCCCGTTATCGGGGTCAGCACACGGTCTGTTTGTGATTCCTGAGTGCACATGTGTCTCGTGTGTGCCTCTGCCAAACACACTTTGCTAACGCACACACACAGCGTTCGGCGTTCGTGCATGCCAAGGCTTGCAAGCAGCTTTGGAGTGCCAGTCACATTGGTGGTGGAAGAGGCATTTGGATCAGCCAGGGGCATGGCGGGTGTGACGCAAGGAAGATGAGCACCTTTCCATGTTTTCCATGTTGCTGAAAGCTTCTTTGACCAGTGTCTCAGCCAACAAGGTGCTCGAAGCTATCAACCAACCATGTTGATGGCCACCATGACATGGATGTAGATGTTGCGACTAGAGTCTAGTCTAGAGCCTGGCTGGAAGACAGTTTGTCCTTCAAACAGTGGGCATTCTGACCATGTCGATGTTACTGTAGCTCGTTTTGGGTGAGTTAATGACTGCTGAACAGTAGTGCCTAGGCCATTCCCTTGTTTTGTAGGGCTTCCAATACTTCCGGACTCTCCATGTAGGATATTGCCCCTTTTTGGCCAGGGGACGACACCAGCTTTCCACATTGCCCCCAGTACAAGCGCTGTCCAAAAGACGTCAACGTCTCACCAGTCAAGTTTGTGCAAGAGAAGGGCCAGAATCAACAGAACAAGAATCTGGAAAGATAGAATTGGAAGTGCCATCTCAAGCCCCATCAAGGGCATAGGTATCAAGGGCATAGGTATCCCTTACCCCCCATTTTTGGTGTCAGATGTTCCAAACAAAAGACGCCCTTTGCACCTGGTTCTTTGCACCTTCTGTGTCAATAACACATGTTGATGGGACTCCGGGACGGAGTTGCTGACGCCCCCTTTGAAGGACGTTGAAGGACTTTTCGCCCATTCTTGGCGAAACCCAAAAAACATGAAAGACTGTGACGAAATATGACAACAGACTAAAAGTAAAAACAGAAAACCTATCGAAATCCCCACAAGAAGCGGAGCATCTGGGGATCAAGCTTTATCCCTAGGGATCCAAGTACCTTTTCAGAAGGTGCTTGGACCCTCCAAACCTACATAACAGTGTCTCCAATCACCTTCTGAGAAGGTACTTGGATCCCTAGGGTATTGGAGGCTTTCTTGTTGCTCAGTCTACAGTGACAAGAGATTGGTTTTTGCATGTCGGGCGGTGTGCTCTTCAGAGCCTGAGAGGTGGAGAAAACGGCGTTTCCATGTTCTTCCCGCGTTTCCCTATGGTGTGGGTCAATGTGGGGTGGTGAATCAAGAGTAACCTCTGGTAAGGCCTTTGGTTTGGGAAGAAGAAGCTTCTCAGGATGATCACCTTGGGCGGGACGCTTTTGAAGCTGATTTCAGGTGTCCGATTGTTGAAGGTTGAACGGCTAGGCTTCCGCAGGTGAAAGAGGACTTATACATTCCAACATTCCATTCATTCCATGTGGGTCTTCTTGATGGCAATGAATGCCAATGGACCATACAATTTGGACCATCGAGTGCCATGGTGGACCATCCGCGAGCCAGCAACGCTTGTATCCACATGCTCCACCTTTTTGAAAAGGGGGCTTCTTCCGACCAATCGCCCAAGTGGGTTCTGAGCAGTGAATAGCTCCTAACTCCTCAACCCCCAAACGCAGAAAAAGTGAACGCCAAAACACTGCATACACACCAGCGAAACGCTGGCTTCTCGAGGCTTCTTAGAGTTGAAGTGGACTTGTGGACTTGCCTGGTGTGTTACTTCGGCCAGAGGGTCTCATTTCAATCCAACTTGCTTCCAATCCATGTCGTTATAGGCCAGCCAGGTCGGGAGTAGCCCAGGGGCCCAGGCTCTTTCCAAAGAAGGGGCCCGGTCTCGCCGAGACGGTCGCTTTGGCAGCGGTGTGGGCACCGCCGACCGACCGTGGATTGTTCCCGGTCGGCGACGAGCGACGAAGCTCACGAGCGACGAGCGGCCTCTTCTCCAGGTGAGTTTCGGCATCGTGAAATGTTTGAAGGAGATCTTACGGCAGGCACTGAGAGGAACAGCACCACTTATCGTGCTTTGGGTTGTGCCACAAAGTTGCTTTTGGGGAGTCGGAAGGCTGTTGGGTCAGATAGTGGGATCTAACTAGAAAATACCTTAGGCTTCAGGCTTCCAACGACCATCGATTTAACGTTTCTACCGGAACTACTATACTCAGAACATCTATAAGGAGTCTACGCCACTATTTTTCATCATTTTGGACTTTCAGTGAATACCTAGACACCCTAGACTGGGTAGCTGGGTAGCTAGTCGGCTGATCTTGTAGAAAGTCGCTTGGATGCTGCTTTTCCATGCGGGGATCGATGCAAAACACCGGCAACACACCTGGGTTCGATAAGGTTTGGAGATCTTTGGAGTATCAATTTATGAGAAATAGGTCAATTCCTTTCAGTGAGCATAGTGAGCATACAGGGCAAGACTATCCACATTCGACATGCTGGATTCCTTTGGGATTGCTCACGTTCTTTATAATGTTGGCTTGGGATTAGGCAAACCCCCGTATTAGTCTACCCAGCGTTCAGGCCCCAATAATAAACTAATTTGAACTATGAATTTCCACAGTCACCACCCTCTAATAAACATTTTGCTTGGCTGAACCCCCCGCTATTAGTCTACCCCCTGTCCCACCAGGAAAAATATATTTACTCCAAATTCCAATTCTTCCAAATACTAATTCCCTTTCATTCCAATTCTTCCAAATACTAATTCCCTTTCATTCCAATTCTTCCAAATACTAATTCCCTTTCAT